TGTGGGGGCAGACAGCCTGAGGAGGGGCAGTGACGTGTCAAGTGGAACTGAGCTACAGGAGACAAGGAACAGCGCGTGGGGGGTGCTAGCGACTCAAGGGCAGCCTTCCCTGGGCCGTGCGGCGTTTCCGAGGTTCAGCTCACACGCCTCTCCCAGGGACAACAGCAGTCTCAGCTTCCGGTGGGTGCTCGGGGACAGTGGCTGAACATTCAATCACACACCCGACTGGATGCAGTGCAACGCGGTGTTGCTGACAGCCTTCCAGGGGCTGGCAGTAGGAGAGCCAGGCCGCCCGTCAGACCCGGGAACTTAAGCTTTACACTGGACAGTCATGAGAAACAAGGGAGGCGGCTTCACTTACATGGTTAATGAAGAGGCTCTTGCGTTTTTCTCTCACTGTGAAAACAAAAGATGCAACAGAAACGTTACACACCTGCATGCTGACCCCTGGCAGGCTGCTGAGGGCTCGGCCCCTGCGCTGCGGCCCCATCCTTCCACCAACCAACAGACCCAGCTGCTCACTTACCGAGCGAGACCATGGGCCTGCACAGTGCAGGCCTGACCTCAGCTAACGGAGGACTTGCCATCCACACATCCCACAGCACCCCACCCAGCCCTACACGGCTGAAATCAATTCAGGTGCAGAGCATCCCACTAAGCGAACAGTGCATCAACCAGTAAATCTTAGCAAGTTTGTATGATCCATTGGTTTAAGATGGTTAACAAATAATAGGGCTATTTACTCCTAACCCAATCCGACCAGTGAAGGTCCATGCCATGGGGGTGAAATAGAAATAGTGGGTCGTCAGAAAATCACGGCGCATTTGTGCACAGAGAACTACGCCATGACTAACCGCTATGCCGACACCCACGATGGCGTGACAGGCTGGGTGCGGTGCGGCAGCAGGGGTCTGTACCATGGGCACCACGACTCTCCTCCCGGTGCCGGTGACTACGCTTTCCCAGCAGCCACCCACGCCGGCAATTTGCAGATCTCCTCCCTCGGTGTGGCTGAGAACACACGGAACAGATGCCGCCTGTCTAGCAAGAGCGCTGCTCCCGGCTGGGACAGCATGGCCTGCCCCAGGAGGCTGAGCCCTGGGGCCACGTTTGTCACACGCGGGCTGTCAGCCCACAGCTGGAGAGGGGACGGGGACTCAGAGGAGCTTGTGAGAGCTGAGACTGTTCAGCATCTTCTTTCCTAAGGAAAGGTTTTGCCTAGACGCGATGGAGGACTCCCAGGACAGGTCTCCTGCAGGGACGTAACCCTGGCTCCCGGGGAACCGAGGTTGCCCCCTTAGACGCATCCTGACACTGTAGTATGCACATCCAGTTTATCATCTGTGCCTCCAACATTCACGCTTAGTCAGAGAACTGCTGGCTGCCGCGCTGGAGGTTAGGAACTCACCCCCTTTCACAGGCAGTTCCAGGCTCACTAGGAACCTGCTCCTCTCCTTAGAAGTCCTGTCCTGTCCTTCCTGGAATGACTGCCATCCCCCTTCCTAGCTTGAACACACTCCAGATACAAAAGCAAAAATGAGTCCGAGGGAACCAGCAGTTAGCGTAATGGCTATGCCGCTGGATTCCCACGTAGTCGACCGCGGTTCGTGTCCTGGACCCGGTGGCTTAGAACTCACGCCAGGTGCGTGTGCGTGCGTGCCCAAGATCCCGAGAGGAGAATGGAGGAGAAGGGACTGCGCCGTGACCATTCCCCCTGGGGGGTGATTTCTCACTTTCTGTCTCTATGTCTCTCTCTGTCTGGCGAGCACACGCGCCATATAGCGAAAACTTCTCAAAAAAAAAAAAACCTGAGTCCGAGGACACTACAGAGACTGGATAGTGGAAGATGCTCCCCCAGGACATCCCTGGGTCATCCACAGTCAACCAGCCTCCTGCTCCTGCCTCGGTACTGGGAGGCGAGCACTGCACACCGGCCAGGTGCCTGTCCTGCCGAGGCCCAGGCGCACACAGGGCTGTCCGCTACACGGTGCACAGCGCAACAGCAGGGTAAGGCCTCGTCCGCTACACGGTGCACAGCGTGACAGCAGGGTAAGGCCTCGTCCGCTACACGGTGCACAGCACGACAGCAGGATAAGGCCTCGTCCGCTACACAGTGCACAGCGCAACAGCAGGGTAACGCCTGTCCGCTACACGGTGTACAGCGTAGAACGTCATTTAGGAAGGACCTAACTCCAGACAGGCACCCATGTGTGGACCACAGCAGAAGAAACCGAGTCTGGGCTCTAGCTTTCTATGTGTTTGTCTATGCACACACACACACACACATGTGCATGTTCACATGTGCCAGTCTCCTCTAGGTTAATCTAGTGTCTTTGCATGAAAGAACACCTCCCACCTCCGCACTACCCTGTTTCCTTCGGAGCAGCTAGGCCTGCTGAATGCGATCTGAAACCCAGGGCTCCCAGCGCCTGGAGGAGAGGCCGCTTTCCTGTACCTTTTTGTGGCGTTGCTCCTAGGAGGGTCTTCTCAGGATGAAGTAGCTTTTCCACACCTGCGTCCTTACAACGGATTTCCCTTTCGAGTGTCTTCTCAGCCCCCCATGAACCTCCAGCCCACGTGCAGACAGGCAGGACCCCACCACCCGTGCCACACTGTCTGGGTGGGAGAACACCCATCCTAGCAGGGTTAATTCTCTCCCCTGGGCACCTGGATGTGGGACACACAGATGGAAGGGCACTACCTCCTGCAGGGGGTGGTGTGCTGTGTGCAGGAGAGGTGACACAGCAGCTCTGACGGCCATCATGAAGAGCCCTGCTTGCAAGGTGGGCCTTTGGCTAGTATCTGGGAACTAAATCTGGGAGGTTCCCGCCACTCCCAAGCAGGTAAGAGCGGCTCAGCGGCCCCAAACCACCAGTTCTCACAATGGTCCACACGGAGCACCCACTTTCCTCCAGGATGTCTGGAACGTCGGTGCACGCCAGCAGAGGCTGCCGACAGGAACGCCCCCAGGGAAGCCTAGGTTTTCACTGTCAGTCATCACAGGAAATCGAACACCTGTGTGACCCCCGGGCAGACCCTCGGACGCCTGCCCCTGGTCTCCTGGCCCTCACCAGTGCACCTTTCGGCATCGTCGCTCACAGCCACAAGGTTCCCCTGATCAAACCACCTGCCTGAGGGTGGACCTGGGGCCCCCACATGGCTGCCCCAGCCTGGCCAGGTGAGGTGGTGGAGAAAAGGCCAGGCGCCCGAGGTCCAACTACGAGGTGCCACGGTCCCTCCTAAAATCAGTCAGTCCTTTTCCCCTCAGCTAGCTGGAACAGGACTAAGACACTATCACGGGGGTAATAAATCAGGAAGAATCTCTTAAACTGTGACTCGCCAAAAAAGACTGAATTACCCAAGCCTAAATCAGTCCTTGAAATAAAGTTGAAACTACTGAGGCCAATAATGAGCTCCGAAATTCAGAACGCTTTAGTCATTTTGTTTTCTGTAACGGTATAAGCAACACACCAACTCATTTCTAATAGATGGCTTTAATCATTTTTAAAACCTCAATATTTTTGGTTACTAACAGTACATCAACCAAAAATCTCTAGCGTTTTCAGAGTGCCCATATTAACTGAGTGCACTAATAGCTGTATTTTGCTTTGTTAGGGGAAATAGGCAATAAATTAATGTGGCTCATAAATCTTATCTTTCTTAGGAGGAGAATAATAGCAATCTCCTTGGGGCCAATCTATGATAGTTTGTTAAGAGGATTTTTAATTGGCTATAATAGTACTCCATAATGACTTAAACAGAAAACATACTGAGGCTTTAAAACTAAGCCATCTGAAAGCAGCAAAACCACTCGTACTGGCAGGAAAGGTCTTCTCCAGAAAAAGCTGGGAGTAAGGGTAAATGGCAGCGTTTTAAGACCTTCCTTGCCACCACTGTAACAAAAGTAAAATGACCCTCACGTGGCCGTCTCAGACCTGGTGGCTCGCTTTCTCACTTTCCCTTTCTCTCTCTCTCTGGTCAAACTAATAATAACAACAAATAAAATAATTCGGAAATTACCCTTAAAAAAGCACAGCTTTCTGGGAAAACCTAGTGCTTAAGAACTAACGAGGATCTGTTCATCATCTGGATGCAATTTCAGCTAACCCCTTTCACAACATTCAAAAAACGACCTCGGCCCCCCTCCTCCATCTCTGCACAGACCTTCCACCGGCACACGCTGGCCGCCATGAGGACGGAGACTGCTAGGACTCAGACCCTGAAGGACCACCTAACCCAACGTCAAGTCACAGCAGGGGAGGGAGCGGAGGGTCTGCTGGGTTCCCCTGCCCCGGAGCAGCACCACCGGTTACAGAGGCTCCCCTGGAGTCTGCATGAAACGAGTTCCATTTCAGAACAGAATGATAATTAGGATCAGATAAAAATAGAGCCAAGTTATTCTACAAAGAAAAATAACTTAGCTTATTAATTACTCCGGATGTGAAGGACTGGCAGGCCACACGAGTGGGAAGCTTCCACGTTATATAAGAATTACAGTCTCCTGACTGAAGAGGTGAATCTGACTGCTGAGTCTATGCAGATCAGAACAATCTGGTTCAAAAGGAAAGGTTTCGTTTCTCTTTCTTTTTCCCGATGGGCAGCATAGGTCGGACTTAAAACAATCAAATTAAAAGTTTAATATTAATTTTTCTCAATAATAAGTTTGAGATTACCATGTAATTCCTACAGATTTCAATAACTGTGAACTCAGTCTCTTGCCTGGTTCAAAACACAGCTGTCAGCCCAGCTGCAG